TCGGGGGCTGCTCCAGGCCCGGGAGTCGCATCCGGGGGCTTTGGGCTGCTCCGGGATAAAGTCGGCCACGGGCCTGCCTTTTTCCTAACCGGGTATGCGGTGCCTGCTCCGGGGCTGGGTTGTACAGGCACGCCTCGGGGTTATAAATGAAGGATCCCGAGTTACTGTTAATAGTACGGGGCCGTTCCACTGCCAAGTGGGGACGGCCGGGTTTATTCATCATGCGTTGACTCTTGACTTCCTTTGACTCTTTGTTGCGTGATATTTGATAGCATATTCCTCCTTCAGCATGATAAAGGATGGTAATTTGTCTGTCACTCCACCTTTGCTTAATCATAGGTCAGAATAAAGTAAGGTTTGCTTTGGGCAGCAGGTACATAAATGTGTATAACAGTAGGTTGCAATATCAGAATTAGTTATCGAAGCTAGATCTCTGTGAACACACAGATATGGAAATGATTCTTCTTGGCATTGGCTGTGTCTGATACCAAGTCTCTTCTATTTAAGAATGCCCACTTGTAGCAGCAGCCACAGAAACAGCATGCTCTCTTTCTGCTGTGGATTCTGCAGTGATCAGGTAGATTTACTGCATTCCCCTGTTGGGACTGTTATTTCCTCTCTTGTTACCGATGTTGTGACCTCACAAGTTAGTAAAACTTGAGTCATCAAGTGTTCCAGTGCAATGCTGAGTTAGACTAGCAAATATGACCTGTACCTGGAAGAAGAACTTCTCTTTCCTAGTTTACAGTAATCCCAAGGGATCAGAATATAAAATCATTTAATGCACGGTTCTGTAAGCATAAGTATTTGTGATGAAAAGGCATGCATAGGTTCAGTTAGGCTGAACAGGTACAGCTGAGATCTGTGCTGGAGCTATTACCGTAACAGTCCTGTTCTTTATCTCAGTACAAAGAATGGTTAGATGGCATTCCACTGCCGTGCCTGTACTAGCCCTTGCATGCTTTCTGAAAGAGGTTCAGGAAAGTGAACTTAAATTTTGACTGTGGTGTTAAGAGATATGTTGGGTCAGAAGTTCAGTTTCAGTGACCTTATACTAATTGTGGGACACTGCCAATTCTTTCCCTTGGTCTCGTTCTTTGGTCTCTATTTTACCTCTTTTTGGTATATTTAATTCTCTGTCTCATACTTAAGGGAAGAGTATCCAGCAGGCTTCTTGAACAATGCTTCTGTGAGAGTATAAAAGAAAGCACGCTTTCACTTCAGTATTGCTGCTGGTCAAAATCATCTTTACAGTAAGTATGTTTTGTGTCCTCAGTTTTTGGTTAGGGAAGGACAGTTTGGCCTCTTTGCTTATCCATGACAATTCTCAGTATTAAGAGCATGCTAGTTGCAAACTTCAGTCACGCATTATATACACATTGTTGAAAACCTGTTGTACCAGTTTGACTGTAACAATTTGGTTTTTTTACTTATATTGAACAACAGGGGAACAGGTGACCAGTTAATTTTCTGATGTTTAACGAGGGTGGTCTTCCCACATAATTAACTGAAAGCCCTAAGACACAAGTGCCACGTTTCTTAAGTTTTGAGCAACTTAGAATTGAAGTTCCCAGGTCTTTCTCAAGATCAGTGTGATGGCTTTCATTAATAGTGCACGTCTGAGTATCTGTCAAATTCTTTTTGGTTGTGACAGGGTAAACTGGAAGTGAATCCCATGCAATCAACAGAGATAAGCTAGACTTACCTGAATGTAATCGAGAGCAGGAACTGGCTGCCTTAGTTGCTTAAGAAACACAGAGTAAACAAAATAAGCCGTGAGTCATGTTCAATGTTTGAGAGGAGTGGAAGAATTGTTGGGGTGCACTAAAACTTCTATATGCTCACTATTTTAAACTTAATAGAGGGCATAGTTTGAACTAGAAACTAGACTGGTTATATATAACTGTTAATAACTAGACTTCTTATGAGAGCCTCAGTAAGACCTGCCTCCGGCTTCTTTCCTGTCTTTATGTAGCTAATCTGCTTCCTATACTTTCTTGCAGCTCGAAGCTGCCTTCTCCCTCTTCACTTCAAAGCTCTGAAGGGATGCTGAATTCAGTAAAATGTCTTTTTACTACTTGGTAAAAAGGTATTTTATAATTTAAGTCAGATATTGAATCAACATGTTTATTTGTAGAGGCAAAAGTAGTCTTATGATTGCTAATAACTAATGGGTCAGGAAATGAGATGTGGAAATATTACACAATGTCGCAAAGTGTTAGCTCCCGAACTGCACAGCCCTGCCATCGTAGCGGCACTGTCGGGTGGGCAGACCTTGGGATATCCTAAAGCAAAGTAGGCTTTGGTGCCTTGTAGTTGGGTTGGAGTCTCAGGCTTTGCACTATTGTTATGTTCTAGATGCAGGTCTAGGTTTGGTTTCCAAAAATACTCTTGCAGGACTGGCTTCCATTGCGTGGGGACGAAATCCATGGCCATGCTAGTATTGGTCACCATACTTCTGGGGAGCACAGCTGCTTCCCGGTTAACTCCTGGTAAGGGACCATGTGAGTGTTACTGTGTTTCACTGCTAACAGGCAGTTGGTTCATCTTAAGTCATCATCTTCATGGTATAAATTAGCGTTTGTGCTTTTCTCTAGAAATGTAGTTCTTTTCTAGAAGGAATGTGGATGCCTTTAAAAGATACAAAGCTGCTCTCTGTTTGAGTAATAGACTGCTGGTATGCTCTTTTTATTTCACCTTTCATCAGTTGTTTTGGCAGTTTTATTAACATTTAATGTACGATGAGACACTCTTTTAGGTGAAGTAACATTGTAGATACAAGAATCAATGTGAAACCATGTGGTGAGCTTTGGAGGTAGGTTACATGTCCCTCTAAGGAAGAATCATTTTTTTCCCCGTAGCAAAACATCACAGCACAACATGACAGAAGCTCCTGACTATGTTCTACTTGACCTGCCTCCTGTCAGTATCTGACAGACGAAAGTAAACCACTGGAAAATCCAAAATGTGTGCTGCTTAGAGGCTGCCAGGATGACTCTTGTTTTATATTGTAGTATATTACCTGCCAGCAGTGGGTAACTTTGCAAAGCTTTACAAAAAATTCCTGCCTTAATGCGTCAATGCCTACGAAGAAGGAATTCAGTGTGGTGACAGTATCAAATGGCGCTCTACAGGCAACATTAACAGCGATTGCACGGTCACTTTGATTAGCGGAGTTGTCCAGTAGAGATACAAAATAGATGCTGGGATCAGATCTCAAATGATCTCATCCTGTGTCTTCAGAATGCCGTGAGTCTCTTAGGCGGGAGTACCATAAATGGTGTGAGTGGTTATATGAAGTACTATTTTTGTTCACCCTTTCCTTCTGTTGCAATCAATCCTTACCATAAACCTGTAGGAGTCAAACCCTGTATTTCAAGCTTCAGTTTGGGGTAGGAGCAGCCAAGCATTCAAATTCAGGTGCTATTTATACATCGAGTCCTGGAACTAGAAAGATGTTATTGAAATGAATAACTACATTGTGGAAACAGTATAATGATTTTATTTGGACTGACTCTTTGTCAGGTTTTGACATAAGTCTTTGGCTATGTTAAAGCTCCTTTAGGTGAAGAAACAGTGTGATGAGACACCTCTGTGTGGTGGAAACAGGGCCCAGCAAGACTAAATTCTCAGCAATCAGAATATGGTCTGTTTAGAGTAATCAGCAGTGTTTATGAAAATTTTAGTCCAATGAAGTCTAAAAATACTCAGAACACTTGAAGTGTGTTGCTGCATTTAAACCAGAGAAAATTCAGAATTCCATCAAGCAAGGCAGGCCCCCGTGCTGTGTTAGTGCGGGGTGTCAGTGCGAGAGCAGAGGTGAGAACAGAGCTAGGTGTGTATTGTTGCCTTCTGTGCTTTTCTCTGGCCTCTGAAAGCTACAGCTAGTGTCAGAGCTTGAACTTACTGTAGCTGTTCGTAGTCCAGAAAACACATACTTGTTTAGTGCCTGAGCTAAATACGTCCTTGAATATTTCTTCACTGTTTTATTAAGATTTTTGCGCTTTTCTTAATTTTGGTAATGTCCCTTATGTGGCAAAATTAGAAGGCTAGTAGACCAAATGAACTGAAGCCTCTTCATTATGTTATAGCTTGGCTAGAAACATACAGACCTACAGAAAGCCCTATTACTTTGGCGACTACTTAGAAGAAACATGGGCATTTTTGATCACATGATACTTACTTTTAGAAATTATTGTTGTACTTGATATGCAGATTCACGGTCCTGTAAGCTTCAGCACTTTCGTGTCTGTGTGTCATACGTTATGTGGCATGAAACTTTCACTCACCGTAATAGTATGCCAAAAACTAGTACCATAGATGTAGACAGGCATCTTCAACTTTTTACCAAAACAGATGTCACGTCATACGATTGTAGAAAACTGGAGCCACTTAGTTCCTTTAAACTTTGCTTTTCAGGTCATAATAGGTGTTACAATTATGTCCAATTATGGGGACTTAGTTGTGAAATACCACAAATATCTTCAGTAATAAATGTGACTTCAGTTCTAAGCAAACATGTAAGTCATTATTTCATTTCAATGTGTACAACTTGAGAAGCTTTTAACTGATACGTGCTGTAGTTCCAAGTCTCCATATGAAAGAGCAAGATGAATAGAAGTTTGTTTTCATAACACTTTAAACATCCAAGGAGATAAAATGAACTTTTTAATACTAACTTGATAGGCTTTTTCCTGAACAGTGACAGGGTACAGTGAATGATTAATTCTTTCTCTTGTTGCTGCAAAGTGCAAGAATGCTAGGTACCAACTATGGGAACCCCCACTTCTGGAAGATCTCTTAGCCGCGTGTTGAAATGCTTTACTAAATCCCTGTCTTGAGACAGCAGTGTGTCCCAGGTAAACAAACAAGGTAAACTGGTAAATCTTTTAAGATGACTGTAAGGTGGCAGAGTAGTCTTATTTAATGGAAAAAGTCAGGCTACCAAGTATGTTCAAAGTCAAAAAATACCAGTGTAACTTGCAAAGAATGATGAATGAAGGTACAAGGGATAGTTTGCGTCTCCCATTTATGCTGTTTCAGATTCTTGGAATCTAATTCATAGCTATGAGTTGAGAGAGTTTATCCAGATCCTGAGGGAGCAGCTTCTGCAAGGGATATTGGAGAGCATATTCAGGACTTGCATCTCTTCCTTTTTAGGCTCATTTTATAGAGATTCTGTTACCTGAAATGGACCAGTGAGAAGACTGCTGCTAGTGCTTTCATGTTGCAGGGAAGAGTGGTGCTCAGGATAAAGAACAGGAAGGGGAAGGTCTGCAGCTGATAGCAACATCTCTGCTACTGCCAAGGGTGCAAGTCCGCTGTACTGGAGTGGAGGACTCTGTTAATGTCTGTCTCTAGCAGTTTTTAAAGAGCCTGCTTGAGTACTGTTTACGAGTTGGTAGTGTCCTTTGGGAGGGAAGGGAATAAATATGAATGCAGCATTTGAACAAGTTGGGAGATCTTTGGAGGCACTGCACATTACTGTTTTGCTCAAAATGCACTGTTGTGTTGTAGGTTTCTGGAGGTTAAGTGGCAGTCTAGTTTGTTAGTGTGTTATATGGACTCGCTGGTTGGGGTATAACGCTATGTGGACACATCCTCAGGCCATTTCCATTTATGCTTGATTTAACTCCCAACTGATGCACTTTGATAAGACTGACTTCAGTAATCTTTACTACTGATTTTTAGGTTATCATTATGTGTCAAATTTGTGTGTCTAGGTGGATGCAGATAGGAAAAGGACAACATTAGTTTTTAATATTGTAGGGTACATATCCAGTAAAGAGTTGCATATACTTGAGCTGTGACTGAGTTTGGCTTCCAATAAGAATACAGTCTAATAACTTGAAAATGTGGAATGCAGAGCTATGTGAATGATTGGCACTAATTATTTTGGAGGTGAAGGGGGAAAGAACAGAAAAGGGGAGGAGAAGGCAATATCACGATTGGTTTTATATATAGTACCTCTGGTTTTAAAAGAAAATAGGAAGTTTGTGAATGTCTTAAGACATGATGCTGTTCTTAGCGTGATGATGGTGGTTTTTTTCTATGCAGTATTTGTAACTGTGCCCTTTGGAACTCTAGTCATAGATTGCAGGACAATTAATTGCTAATTGCACCAATTATGTATCTTTAAGCTTTGGTTTTTGACTTGTGTCTTGCAGATAGCATGATAGGAAGCCAGAAACACCCAGGAACTTCTTGATGGATCACTTCCTTTTAAATATTCTTTACATTATATTCATTAGCTGAAATAACAAGCTAATGAATAGATGATTGGTAACCACACATACTGAAACAGCCCCACCTTTCACATGCAATTCAGTTTTGTAACTAGAATGTGAAGGCTTATGCACAATACACAAATCAAGATACTAAGTAATATAAAAATTAAACTGTGAATTTAAAAGAAAAGTCCACATAAAAGCATTAAGATTTTTAGTGTCTTGCATTCTCTGTCTCTACATTGTAGCTATGAATGTGTTAAAGTTCATAACTTTGGCACAGAGTAATCTAATAATTCATCAGGGCACTTACAGAGCGTCAGGATTTTTAGGTGTATATAAAGTCTGTCTGTAACTTTTCTGATTTTTTTTTTTCCAAACAGACCTGCTGGCTTATGTTTCCACACCAAATACAGAGGTCTTCTGGAGGAGTAGGAATTCAACACTGCAACATGCTTTATATAATTCTGAAATTTAAAAATAAAATTCTTCAGTGTTTCAGTCTACTTGTGGCCTTTCACCTTGGTGTTGCCTCGCTGTGCAGGACTTTGAAAGCAGCTGCATTAACAAAATATACAGCAGAAAAAGAAAAAATGTAGCAGAATTAAAAACATACAAAAAAACCCAAAAGAGGAGTAAAGAAAAATGCAGCAGTGTCATGACCAAATAGGTCAGCACAGGAGCATTGTAGTCAGTATGTGTGAAGGCCTGTAACATTAAAAGGAAAGATCATCTAAACTATCTTCCTAGATATATCAGTAATTAGCAATTCTTTATGTGGTCACCATTTCATTTTATCTAGTGAATTATCTTTATTGCTTGGGGTTAAAGTTTTTAGACGATGAGAAAAGAAATGGCACGCCTTTAAAAAATAAACATTTTCCTCTTGGGGCTGGGCCTACGTAAAGGTGAGGTGATCCCACAGTAAGTCTGTAACAAGAAATGGCAGGTTTTATGTGGCAGGCACACTGAACATTGTTTCCCAGGACTTCCAAGCAAGGACTGGCATCTAGTTTGGTTCCTGCTCTATTGTTGTAAGCATGCCTATTTTAAAATGCATCTAGCTCTCCTCCACCAGAGAAGTTGATGAACCAGGAAGTGGCACAGTGACGAGTGGTTGTAACTGTGCAAAAATCTGGTAGTATATCAAATGCAGAACAGCAGAGTTGGATTCCTTGTTGAACTGAAGTGCAGGTGATTGAATATTGGAGCAGGTTACCTGGAGAGGCTGTGGAATCTCCGTTCTTGGAGATGTCCAAGACTCAACTGGATGTCCTGCGCAACCTGATCTAATTAGATATGCTTTGAGCCTGGGTTGTGCTCGATGGCCTCCAGAGGTTCATTCCAACCTGAATTATTATTTGATGCTGTGAGTGGGCAGTTTGGACCTGGGAGTTAGCGTGCCACAGAATCAAGTACATGTCTTCCTGCTGGCTATGCCCATGGAGTATATAATCCCCCATGAGGGAGTTTCTGCCTTCCAAGTGGAAGGCAAGCACCTTTCAGCGTTTCTGTTTGTTCCACAAACTTGCAAATTACTGGTTTTAATCTGAAACTTTAACACCTGCATAATTAGTGCATTTCACAGGCAGCAAGAGGCTTTGTATGAAATTTTAGATTTGTAATGTGAGAAAAATGCACGTGCCTGCTGAAGAAAGGCATAGGTCTTTGTTCCCTGTTGTTTCTGTTCTACTGCACTGAGAGTGGCTGAGTCTGGCTTGAAGTCTGGAAAATAACTGTAAAAACAAAAGTAGGGAATGGAGAGTATGTTCGTGCTTATCCTTTTCTAGTTGTTGCAATATAAAATCCGCTCATTTGGCAGATGAAATGAAAGGTGCCTCCCCCTTCACAGACGCTAATTGCCAGCTCTCTAAACCTCCTAGGAATTTCCGTTTTCTTTGGCTCACGTCGTCCTCAGCAGTGGAAGTTTTGTAATTAGAATTTAAAGTTTTGACACATTTGTGAGCCAGAACAACGCTTTCCTTGTTCTACGTTTTTGTTTGTGTAGTTCAGGTAGCAGTAGGGAATAGTAACAATTTGTGTTGATTAGAATTCAGTCAAAGTGTGTGTATGACTGCCACACAAATTGCCTCTTCTGACTAGCTTGTGGGAGTCTAGCAGGATACTCGGATCCTGCGATATGAGGTGCTGTGCGTGGAGTACAAGATGGGCTGAGATGGCAGTGTCTTTGAGGAGGGGACTCTTCTGGCTAGAGTAATTTGTAATGGTGGGTTTTGGTTTGGTTTTTTTAAATTTGTTTGGGGCTTTTTTAATGATTAGTCTATTAGCCTTTCTTAATTTCTTGTTAGATGGTCGCGGTCAGGAATGCATCCATAAACTTCAATAAACATCAACTATTTTTTTTTTGTAATGGGAAATTCTGAACAGCCCTAACCATATTGGCAAGGGCGTGAAACTGAATTGATTAGTATATTTTTGTTGACAGGTTAATAGAAATTACAACCAAGCTGCAGTTACGAGTATACTAAGAACACTTATTCTAGACTGATACAAACACCTTTATCTGAGTATGTGGTAACTTGAGTTGATTTTATTGTGCATAACTTGCTCTATTATGGGAGGTAAATAATTTGCTGCTTATTTCACTGTGGAGTACCATGGTCTTCCTCCCTTCCATTGAGAAATCTATGATAATCTTACAAATTTTGTTTTTTTGAGATTAAATGTTAAAGTACATTTTCTTTTAGTAGAGGGATAGGAAAGATAAAGGAGGCAACATAAATGTATTCAGATGTCTTAAATTTTTTTTCAGATATCTGCAACAAACACACCAGATTTTTCAATTTCCTTTCTGTTTAATTTCTGTAGGCTAGAACTTGTTGGACTTTGGTCTTTGGAGGACTTCTACTAATTATAGTGGAATAAACAAAATGATTAAAACCAGATTTTGCAGATTAGAACAGCTGTGCAAATCTTGTTGAGAGTTACTTTATTCAGAAACTACAGTTGCACAAGGTAGTCTGCAAAAGAGAAGATATTTGGAAGAATTTTTGGCATGTGCTTTATGTGTACCCTGAAGTGCTCTGAAACTTTCTGCAAGTTAATGAGGAGATTGTACTGTCAAGTTGGTCTCCTGTCTGTCTTCAAGTGCTGCCCCTGTAGGTTTTCACACACTGAGGGAAACCACAGGGACCGATACCCAAAGAAGCGACAAGGTGTAATTTCCCCTTATATCTTGTGTCCTAGATGAGGGGTTTGGGGTGGATTTCCCTGCACATCCTGCCAGAGGAGACGACGGGAAGCGCCTGTGGCGGTGTGCTGTGAGCCCCGCTGCTCGCTGCAGCTCTCCCTGTGTGGGGCAGCCCTTGCTGTGGCATAAAGCCCAAGCTAATAAATCCTGCAGAGCTTGTTAGCCTGGGCTTCGCTCTTCTTGGGGCTTTGCCTTTGAAGACAAGCCTCACCAGTTACAGGCTGATGCTTGGGGGGGGGCTGCTGTAATTTCCCTTTTTTAAAAAGTATGTTTTCACACACAAAAATGGTAAAGTATTCTGGCCTTTTGTTGATGGAGAAGTATACGCCTAGGCTGTATTTCAGACTTGTTTCCTGCAGTGCTAGCAATTGTATACCCTGCATTCAACTTGTAGTTAATTTTACATGTAGATGTTTCTTATCTGCAGGACAGTTACTAGGAAACACATGCAAAAATGGAAGATAACTGTGCTCTATTTGCTACAAATCTGTCGTCGTTTGTTTGTTTCAATTTTTTTGTCAGGGCTTCAGTTTGAAGCCGAAAGCCCTGCCTTCTTAAACCCTGGGGGCTGGAAATGCTATTCAGGCGAGACCTTCGTATATATTTTTTTTTTTTTGGTCAGCAGTTAAATAGTTAATTGCTGTTTGTATTTTTATAATTCATAATTAGTAGACCAGTGGATTAAAGAGGATTAAGACTTTTTTTTTTTTTTTAATTTTACTGACATATTGACAAATGCCATGTATAACCAAGGAAGTCACAGGCTTTAAGTTGTTCTCTTTCATGATTTTGTCCTGTCCCCCACCTCCTCCTTCACAAGTTATTTGATACCTGTATGTGTAACTTGCCAGTGCTGGTAAGAAATCTTAAAATCTTTGAATAAGAAAGTTACGTAAATAATAAATAATGCTTTCTTAAATCTATCTTTACTGCTGAGTGTTTTGTCTCTTTATGGAAATACTGAGAGTGTGTTAAATGCTGAGAACAAAATATAGCTCTGAAGTGTATGCTTAGTTGTTTTCTTGATTTCACTCCCAAAGTGACCAATATGATGCTTTTCTTAAAGCCAGGGCTGTACCATGCTGCTGTTGCTTTGTGACCTGCTGTAATTTGGAAAACTCAGATGTTGAATTTTCTCTCAACAGAAAATTTTTAAAGCTGGAGATACTAACCAGGATGGACAGCTAGATTTTGAAGAATTTATGCAGTATCTTAAAGATCATGAGAAAAAGATGAAACTGGCATTTAAGAGCCTGGACAAAAACAATGATGGTATGCCTTGATTTATTTTATTTGTTCAAACATTGTTTGAAGAAAACGTGCATTATAAGTTATCTTTATTTATATTCTTTGTCTAAACTGGAGACAAAAAGTTGTGAACATGGAACCCCTACTTCTTTTCCTTAATAGGATCATAATTATAGTTTACTATAGATTGAAATAATAAATTATTATAGTCTTTTTTCTTTTTATTATCTTCCAGGTCCGTTGATCTGGGGCTCTTTGTTCCCCAGGTGGAGAAACTATAAGGAAGTTTCTAAGTATCTGTTAAAGATAAAATAGTTTTTAACTCACTGAATGTTTGCATCTCCTTTGGTTGCATGATTTTAATTTACTTACCTTTACTGAGTCCTTGTAGTAGACAATCAAAATATATCACCTGTGTTTTAATTGATTTTAAGTTATCTTTGCTATTATGTGGATGTTACAATGGAACTTAGTGAGCTCCAAGGTGCTAAGTGATTCAGCTCCATGTTTTAAATATTTATCATCTTTCTTTTAATGTTTTAAGGAAAAATTGAAGCATCAGAAGTTGTCCAGTCTCTCAAGATATTGGGTATAAGCATTTCAGAAAAACAAGCAGAAAAGATCCTGCAAAGGTCAGGAATTATTATTTCTTAAAGTTTTTTAAGCTTCTTTGTATTGTTTATTATTATATTCTAATAATTTAGAGAACAGGATAAATGGGATTATAACTTTCAAAGGTGGTGGTACCTTCAGTGCTGCTTTTATAGGAATTCTCACATATTCCATCTGGTTTTGGGTGATGGTAAGTCTAGTCACTATTTGAGCATCTGGTTCTGGGAGGAGAATGTTGTCTCATTTCCCTGTAAGTGTTGTTGATAGAACGAAGTGTTATGTTATGTTTTTAAATGGAATATGCCAGATACACTTGGATAAGAAAAGCATAGTATTGAAAGGCCATGGCAGATTCAGCCTTGAAGTCTCCATATGCAATTTACAGTCAGTTGTCACTGATGTGATGGCCAATACTTAAAAAAAAAGGCAACAAACCAGAATAAAACCTCATCCTTGCTATTATTTCCTTATATAGTTCAATTTCTTTTCAGTATTGATGCTGATGGGACGATGACAGTAGACTGGAATGAGTGGAGAGATCATTTTATGTTTAACCCAGCTACAGACATTGAGGAAATAATTCGCTATTGGAAACATTCCACTGTAAGTTCAACTTTTCTTTTAACTTAATGCAGCTCTTAAGTTCATCTCTGCTGGGTTAATTGGCAATATTGAGTATCACAGCTTCATAGTTGCTATATTTCAAACATACCTGTATTTAAGATTGTTTGTTTTTTCTTTTCACTTTGTGCTCTCCAGTTTACAAGCAGGCTAGTGTGATGTGAGTTTCTTCTCAACGAAGAACTTCATCTAAACTTTGCCAATAATTATCAGTAATTCTTTTCTTCCTTTGGAGATCTTCTATAGAAAGATAATAACCACAGTATTAAATCTTTTTCTTTTCACATTGCACTACATTCTTATGTTCAATACTTTTGATGTATTGAAACAAATTAAAGAAACATTTTAACTGTTTCTTATGGTGAAATTCGTTCTGTATTTGCCATCCAGAGGGACCTTGACAGGCTTGAGAGGTGGACCTGTGCAAACCCCATGAAATTCAACAAGGGCAAGTGCAAGGTCCTGCACATGGGTTGGGGCAATCCCAAACACAACTACAGGCTGGGGGGAAAATGGATTGAGAGCAGCCCTGAGGGGAAGGACTTGGGGGGCCTTGGTGGATAAGCTCAACATGACCCAGCAATGTGTGCTTGCAGCCCAGAAAGCCAACCGTATCCTGGGCTTCATCAAAAGAAGTGTGACTAGCAGAGGTGATTCTGCCCTTCTGCTCTTGTGAGACCCCACCTGGAGTACTGCATCCTGCTCTGGGGTCCTCAATACAAGACAGACGTGGACGTGTTAGAGCAAGTCCAGAGGAGGTCACAAAGCTGATCAGAGGGCTGGAGCACCTCTGCTATGAGGACAGGCTGAGAGAGTTGGGGTTCTTCAGCCTGGAGAAGAGAAGGCTCCGGGGAGACCTTATAGCAGCCTTCCAGTACCTAAAGGGGCCTACAGGAAAGCTGGAGAGGGACTGTTTACAAGGGCATGGAGTGATAGGACAAGGGGGAATGGCCTTAAGCTGAAGGAGGGGAGATTTAGATTAGGTATAAGGAAGACATTTTCTACTGTAAGGGTGGTGAGGCACTGGCACAGGATGCCCAGAGAAGCTGTGGATGCCCCATCCCTGGAAGTGTTCAAGGCCAGGCTGGATGAGGCTTTGGGCAACGTGGTCTAGTGGAGGGTGTCCCTGCCTGCAGCAGGGGGGTTGGAACTAGATGATCTTTAAGGTCCCTTCCAACCCAGGCTATTCTATGATTTAGATAGATATTATCATTACCATAAAATCACTAGTGACACCAGTGATGATTTTCTGTGCACGTGTTCTAACGCTCTTTTGTGTTACAGAATTTCATTTAACAATGACGGAATGTACAGCAATAGGCTATCCACTGTGCAGATACATTTTTTTAAGTTGCTATTGAATGGAGCTCTTGACACCAAAGTGACTAACTTTTAAGAACAAATAATAAGGAAAGTAAACCAGTAGTAATCCTGTTTGCTAAATATTCTTCCTGTACATTATTGGAGTAATCCATAAAGTTAGGTAAAGACAGATTTCTTTGAATATAGTGAGACCATTTATATCTTCAGGGATTAGTCAGCATTTCCATAATAAAAAGGTTTATGAGATCTGAGAGCTTTGTGAGTGTTTCACAGTGTACAACCTCAATTCAGAAATGCTTGTCAAAAGGGAGTTAGCTCCCTGTTTGCTGAAGAAAACACTTGAAGCACTGCTATGAGATCAGATAGTCCTGGTCCCAGCTTACACAGTGGAAAAACCCCCTTTGTTTTAATAAAATGCTTCACATTACTATTATTAAACATAAGATCCATATTTTTTTTTGAAGTGTCATTAGTTACCCCCAAGAAACAATTTTAGAAGTCTCTCATGATCTTCTAGTGTTGCAGTCAGCTGATGACCTAGTTATCACAGCAAGCAAAATCCAGCTATATGGCAACCCAGCTGGTGTTTCAGATAAGAGCAGACGTGAGACCTTACATGCCTGGCTGGCATTGACAGCTCTTCCAATTCTGTTTTTACTGTAAAATTTTAATTGCTGTCAGACTGTTCCAAGCAGATAGCTACCTTGGCATAGAGGTAGCTGTTGCTTTTCTGTTGTAAACACCCTCAAATTTAGCTTTTTTTCTTAGTTGTGTTTAGGGCTCAGCAGACACAAGGTTTAAACCCTAGTAGATACTATCTCTAAGAACATTGCATTTATATTTTGAGAGTTCTGATTGATCTTTTGATGATTCCATGTAGTTGAACAACTGATGACACCTTGTTTGGAAACCACATCAGAAAGATGAAAGGATTTTTCAGTTAATCTGTTCTGTGTTCATATCCAGAATAGTTGGTGCTTACCTTGTTTGTCCTGTGGCTGTAGCTATAATCTGCATCCTGCAATTCTTGTGTTCCAAATGACCAAGGCAGTATTCTGTCTACTTAACAGATAAGGAACGCAGCGTAAATTAGAGACATTGATTAAAATCAACAGTATTTAAAAAAGGAGTTTATCAGTTAACATCCTTTCTGGTCAGTACTTATCAGTTATTAAAACATTCTTGCTTCTTTTTAGGTTTAATTTATGTATAATATTTGCTTTGCATTATTTACACTGTATCTTGTCATATATCGTGGTTATAAATCACACGAAGAGCAGAAACTATGTTTAAAGTGATATATCTGAGGTTCCATAGTCTTATGTCTTGGACAGCTTTTTCGCTAAAGCCTATAGTAATGTTGTTGTTTGATCAAATTGAGTGGTAATACAAACATGCATGTCTTAATGAAATTTCAAACTTCTATAGCTGAAAAAAGTCATTAATGTGTCTTTCAGTGTAACTTATGATAAGAAAATTTGTAAAGCATTAGTCAAACTTGTAATTTTGTAAGATAATATGCATTAGTTACTGGAAATAGAATATTCCAATATATCGCTAAAAAAATGCCACTTTAAAATGTTGGAGGGGTAGGGAGAAAGGGAAATCCCACATATGTGTGAATAAATTACCATGAGAGAGAAATCTCTTGTTAGCATCCTTAGGAGATTACTAAACTAATCCCAGGAGGCTGTTCTGTGAAAGGTTAGCTGCAACGTATAAGCATTTGAGCTTTAGTGCTGACTGTAAAGGTCTACTGATCATGACAGAATGTCTTTCTTTGAGCCGTACTCAAAGCGGAAATTTGTCATAATTTTTAATGATGATGGTGCAGTCTTTGAAATGGTGGGTCTGTGGTGTTATCACTCAATATCTGTGTAGGAGTCATTAAAAGTTGCTGTTCATTGAACAGCAATAGCAATCCGTAGCAAGTTAATTATAGGATGTAAATTAGAGGGTTTTTTTTTTAACTAGCATTTTACTTACATATTCTCAGGTGGTAGGTTAATTTGGTATTAGAACTGTTGATAAAACTGAGATGATGGAATGAGTTATTTGCACATCTTTGCTTTGGATTCTAATAGGTGTTGGATATAGGAGATAGTTTGACTGTTCCAGATGAGTTCACGGAGGAAGAGAAAAAGACTGGGCAGTGGTGGAAACAGCTGTTGGCAGGAGGAGTGGCTGGTGCTGTCTCTCGAACAGGTACAGCACCATTAGATCGCCTTAAAGTGATGATGCAGGTAGGTGCAATGTTCAAGAACTTTATAAAAAGTTTCTAGTGTATCACTTCAGTTTTTAGAGAGTTGTTATGGAAAAGTGATGGCCAAATACAATATCTAAATTCTGGAGGTGCAGTTATATTTTGACAATTTCCATATTTTGTGTTCATAAAATTTGTCTTTTCCATAGTCGTATTGGAAAAAATGTAAGCAACATATTATAGTACTTATGCCACTAAAATAAAATTTTTTCAGTAGTGGATTTATTTTTGCTAGTTGGTATATTTAAGCAATTTAATACTTAGGTGATGAATTTGACAGTCTAATCAGAGCAGTATCTTTACTGTGATTTTGGGTTTTTTTAGGTTCATGGTTCAAAATCAAACAAAATGAACATAGCCGGCGGTTTTAAGCAAATGTTGAAAGAAGGTGGTGTCCGATCCCTCTGGAGGGGAAATGGTGTAAATGTTGTGAAAATAGCTCCTGAAACAGCTATTAAGTTCTGGGCTTATGAACAGGTAGGACAATAAAATCAGGAATGAAAATAATGGTAAATAAAATACTGTATCACTCCCACTGTTCATTATTTGCGTTGTTGTATTTTATAGGAGTTGTTATCATGGTTGGAGATTTTGTCACAGTAATTTAGAGTGACTTTAAGATTTAAAATAGGCTATTTATTCTGTTAATAGAATACTTGGTATTAGGCAGATTTTGCTATTGTGTTATAAGCAGTATAAATAAATTAAATCTGCCATGCATTTTACACTGTACGTGCTTCGAAGTGACAACAACCAAAACCAGCACATTATGCTAGCTGAACTTATGTGGGATTCTTTTTAAGTCAAATATCATAGTGCTATGTAAGATGCCCTCATCCTGGATTTCAGAGTTAAATATAACTCTGAATCAGCTTTAAGCATCATGTTAAGGCCTAATCCTCCTTTGGAGAATGAACTCCCATGCTGGTGTAGTTAAATGATCTTTATTTTTCCTCTGTGAGGTTTGCTAGTGCCTCAAGTAAAAATAAATGAACATGTTGCACATCTCTGTACAGCTATGAAATGAAAGCAACAAGAAGTTGTTAACTTTAGGATATCGCAAGACCGAATGACAGGTTTTGATGCCATAGAGTAACTTTGAGCACATTATTCCTTACTCTTGCTCTGCCTTTCGGGAGCTGATGGTTCATTCTTGCATGATGGTGTCTCTGTCATGAATGAAGCAGTATGTACAGCTCTCTAAGTGTCTCTGAACGTGTGAGTTGATCTTTCATTCTTTGATTGGAGAACCGGATCTGCAAGGGAGTTGGGTTCCTCTTTGTTGTCTGGGGGCCTTGGTACCCTTGTGTTGGCTGTTTGTAGACACAGTACTGTGTGTAGCTGAGGTGTTTAAGTAAAAGATTCTTGCAGGCTGGAATATTTATTGAACTCTTGAGAATCTTTGTCCACAGAGTTGCAGTGAGTCTAGTGCTAAATTTGTTGGGTTAGTAAATGTAACTGTAAATACATGAAAAAGTTAAGTACAGCCTGAAAAGACATTTTGTACTGTATTCTTGCCTCTCGTAATAACTCTTTCCTCTCCAAAAAAGCATGTGATATTTATGTGTTTTAACTATACAGTATAAGAAGATACTCACTAAGGATGATGGAAAGTTAGGCACCGTTGAAAGATTTGTATCTGGTTCTTTGGCTGGAGCAACAGCACAAACTTCTATTTATCCCATGGAGGTAAGTAACAGAGAACTGCTTCTGTTGGAGACTCTGCCAAATACCTGGTTCATTTCCAAAGCAAACCCCCTTTTGCTCTTGAAAGTATTGTAGGAATTCATCTATATTCCTATATCCTAATTTATTTTTATTTTGGACTTCCTTTCAGAATTTCAGTACTAGGCATTTTCAAACATACTATGTTCTAAATGGTATCTATCACTTTTCTATTTATTTTCTGTATAATATTGTCTAAATGTTTAAAACAATTTTAAATGTACTTCAGGGAAAAAATAATCCAAGAATGCATTTAAAATGAAGTACATATTCTAGTATTTTCTACATTGGGCATAAATCTTTTTCCCACTGTATGTAAGCAAGGAATGGTCTTGTCTGTAGCAGAACTGGTGAAGTTCTGTTGCATTATGATTGGGAGCTGGGTCTGATTAGAAGATCAGTGTGGAGGGAGAGTGTAACAGCTACAGTTGAGGCTGGGTAGATTAACTGCTCTTTCTTCTGTACGACTTATTTGTATGTGGTACTACACATGTTGCAATTTAACTAGTGTTAATATATTAACTGCTCTAGGGTAATAATTTCACATCCTGGTTTTTGTAAATAGAAGTACTTTTACTGCTGGTTCCCCAGAAAGTTTATTGTGTTGTGCAAATAACTGGAATATATGTTTGGTCTGGGATTAAACCAATACCAACATCAAGATTTGGAAGTAATGGCAAATGTAACCTACATAACTTTTTCGCAGCGAGGGGTGTCAGTAGGAATAGAACTTAGCCGTTTTCATTGCTGACAGTGATAACGATCTCTTTTTAAATAGCATCCTTGCTGTCAGAGCCACTGAATCACAGCTAGCCTGAGTACAGAGATGGGTTCAGTTACAGAATAACTAAAATGTTATGTAGATCATCTGGATTACACGATCAATGGAGACAGGTGAACTATATTACAATAAGATGCTCTGACCTTCCCAACAAAGATATAATACTGTCCTATAAGTGTTTTTTGAGGTGGTGTTTCGAAGTAAAAGAGAAAAGCAAAGTGCCAGGAGATTCCTGAGGAAGCCGCAGTCTTATGATGCTTTAAAGTAGGCCAAATTCTTGCTCAGGAAATTCCCTCTGTGGTTTCTTTTGGATACTCTTATTAATTTCTTTGTCCTAAGATGCTGTATGGACTTATTTGCATTATTAATCAGATGCTGGGTTTCAGTAGTAAGACACAATCTTTATATCCCTTAAATACCTCTCAAAGTGTCATGCTTTTTTGAAAGATTATTTTCTTAATATGCTTTGCTGTTCCCAGATCAGATGTGTGATCTGCTATTATGTTATTGGTCTCAATTATTCTGTAGCTGATGCTTCTATTAAATATTGCCTACACTGTTGCCTTCAAGTTGATAAAAAATCTGCCTGTTTTTAATCAAGAAAAGAAAGCTAAAATGCAATTTAAAAAGGCTAATAATTTCAAGCTAGCATGTGGTAGTATGTGTGCTGCTCTGCACTAATGATGAAACCTGAAGAAGCCTACTGCTAACAAAGCCTTAACAGTAGTCATCACAAAGGAGATTTAAAGTACCAAAATGCAAAGCAGTTCCAGACAATTGAATAAGCAGAGAGGTACTGTGTTTTCCTGTGTTTATAAAATACATTAATAAATAGGTATGTAATTAAGGCTACTATCTTTTCCCCTTTAGGTTTTAAAGACCAGATTGGCTGTGGGTAAAACAGGGCAATATTCTGGGATGTTTGACTGTGCTAAGAAGATCTTAAAAAGAGAAGGTGTAAAGGCCTTCTACAAAGGCTATATTCCTAATATTCTGGGTATAATTCCTTATGCTGGCATTGACCTTGCTGTTTATGAGGTGAGTTTAGATCACTGAGTGCATGTAGCTTGCATTAGTTAATTTACAAAAAGGGTAAATATTCTTTAGAATACCTGTATCATTAGTTAGATTTGTAATATGCTTGTAGTGTTACAGTTGCCTTCAATTTAAAATAGACAAATGAGCATTTCCGCTAATCTCACTAGACTGTAACGTTTTTCTTTGTTTGCCTCTCCAAAAGGAGTGCCTGTGCTGATGGGCCCTTACATGCAGCAGTGCCAAACAAGAAATCATGAGGCAGGATTGTGTAGACCTTGGCAATACAACATGCTTGCATACTTAATCAACCCTGTTGGACTGGAACGTACCTGTTCTATAGCAAATATGGCCTTAAAAACCCCATATGATATTCATATTACATTACCTATCCTGCATTTATGACACAATACATATTTTTGTCATTTTCTCTGATTTATAATTGGATTATAGTAACCTGAATTCCGTGTGTGTCTATGCATGTCACCGGAATTCTTTGTGGCTGACATAAAGTCCTCGTGAGGACCTTGAATAACTGCTCTCTTTCTTTTCAAGAGGATCTGGTGTCTCTTACACCCATTACCAACAATAAAAATGTCTTATCTACTCTAGATGTTAGGTGTTGCCTCAAAATGTGTTAAGTAACTTGGATGCACAGACTAAATTTTTTTCTAGTCTAGACAAATCTTGTGACACTGCAGTAGTAATCAGCAGAATTGCTTGAGCAAACGTTTTCAAACCATCCTTTTTTTCTGCACTATGCGTCCTTGCTTCTGCATGGCATGCCATGCACAACAGTGCGAGCTTTTGTTGCACACTGTGGGGTGCTGAGTTGTGTTTCCCTCCTCCTCCTCCCAAAGTGTTAACAGGTCTAGAACATGAGCACTGTTCCTGCTGCTGGATCTTTTTAAAGATTTCTAGGCACTAAATGCTGTAGTCTGGTTAAAGTCCTTACCCATGTACTAAGGTGTTTACCTGTGCACTTTAAAAGTGAGCATTTAGGACTGGTGTAGTGAGATTGGTGCTTTTCAGGATTGAGCCCATAAGATTTGTTATGAATAAAGATGTATTTGTTTACTTTCTTGAATGCAAATCTCTTGTCTTAATATTTAATTTTATGTCTTGGCAGCTCTTAAAGAGTACATGGCTAGAACACTATGCATCAAGCTCCGCTAACCCAGGTGTCTTTGTATTGTTGGGATGTGGTACTGTCTCCAGCACATGTGGGCAGTTAGCCAGTTACCCTCTTGCTCTTATCAGAACACGCATGCAGGCTCAAGGTGAGTCCTGTTGTACTGAAAACGTTTCTGTGTGGTCACATCAAAATTGTATAATTTGGGATAGCTATAGCAGAGATGTGGGAATAAAAAAACCCAACTTGGAAACCCAAGGACTTATCTGGAAAATCCTTAACGTTGGTCCGTTCTCCCTATTATCCCCGATGTTATTGTTCGTCATACTTGGTTCAAATCTAACATTTCAAACACTAGTGCTCTGAGAGCCACATTCCATACAAGAATACCAGGCATGGAGCCCCTGTCATAGTCTGGGAGCACTTTTCCAAAATTTAGAATGTTTCTTAAATTTTAGAGGTAAAATGGAAAAGACTTGCATCATCCTGTGAAGGTAGACAGCAATGTTTACTCTAGAGCGCATTTCATAAAGACAGTTTCATAGCTGAGATCTTTGCTTGATAGGTTTGTGCACAGACTTAAGGATAGGAGCCTAGATTTCCAAAAGAATGTAAGTGGACAATGCTTTTCAGTGGGGGACTTACACACATGGATATCTCTCAAATGTCTGGGATTAAAGAGATCTCTCTGTGAGGACTCAAGTTTTAATCAGTGGCCCTAGAGGTGATAGTAGGCTCACGGCCCAGGTATTTAATACTTAAGAATTTTAATATTACTAGATCTGTTGTATAACACATTACCTTTTTGTTCTAGCCTCAGTGGAAGGAGCTCCACAGCTAAACATGGTCGGTCTCTTTCAAAGAATTATTGCTACAGAGGGAATCAGAGGACTTTATAGGGGCATAGCCCCTAATTTTATGAAGGTGCTTCCAGCTGTCAGCATCAGCTATGTTGTATATGAAAAAATGAAGCAGAATTTGGGAATAGCATGAAATGAAGGAAAAAGGTGAGATGCTTCCAATGGTGTTGGAAACACCAGGACAAAAATGATTTCTCAAGTAATTTGCTCTCACAATTACAGACAGATCTTTGTGGAGAGATGCTGCAACTTCTACTTTTCCCCTCAAGTGGGAAGAAACTTTCTTAAATTCTAGTTCACCATTTCTAAACAGATACCTATATTGCACTTTAAAATGTCACTGAGTTTAAAAAAAAATAATCAAGAAACTATCTTTAAATCAGCAATGTTTATATTTTCAGAAAATCATGCGTCTTTTACTCATTGGCTTTTTTTTTTTTATTTGTCTTCTCTAAATGTGTATTGGGCTTGGATCAAACCAAAGGTAGGAGAAGTTTATACTGCCTTGATATATGAAAGTGACTTTTTGTTTTGTCATGCTGCCTATACTCAAGCAATTCACAGGCAACATTTTGCATGCCTATAAGTAAGCACTTACTATTATTATTTTTGAAGACTTAATGTTAAGTTTGCAAGAAACAGGATCTTATATCTTACATATGGACAAGGATGAAGTAACACATTAAAATGTAGCTCTCCAGGCTAACCTTTTTTTTTATTATTATTTTATTTAAAGAATAAGAGCCTGAGAAACTACTGTTCCATGGTATTGGAATACCTCAAATGGATTTACATGGTATTTTTGTAATACAATCAATGGTTTTCATAACTTGCTTCACTGGACCTGCTTTTCATTGCACTTGTAAATGTTAGCACCATTAACCATGACAAGCTTTGGCTGCACGTTTTATAGGATCATAATATACAGGAACAGAAAAAGCTTGATTACTCCATTCCATACAAGTGCAAGCTACTGTTTAAAAACGGGGGGTGGAAGATTCAGTATTAAGCTGATAGTGATTGTAATACAACCAATAGCAGAGCTCATCATAGTTGCCTTGGGGAGAAAAATGCTGCTCATTTTGGACTCCCCATTCTTTCCCTTACTCAGAGGGCTACAGTCCACTATGTGTTTTTTAGCCAGTAGAGGATTGCATTATTATGTAAAGGTTTTACAGGTTTGTCAT